AGTACAACATTGTTCACAGTGAATTAGATAGTGTTAATGTTGTTTAGAAGTCATACTTGCATGCTAATTCCAATCGATTATTCAAGGTAACATGGTACCCAATATAGAAACTGCTAAATTAACAAATGTGCGGATATAAAACCAAATTTACCTCTATAGCATGCAGTGAGGATCCAGAATTTGACCAATACATGAGCTTATTTGTCCTATCTTGACTGCTATGCCAATTATAAATAGGGAAAATATCCCAAAAAATCCTCAATAAGAGCAAAATCCTCTGTTGGCTGTCGATTCGGTGTGACTTCAGCTAATCCGTTTTGGCTAATGCTAACAATTTTAATTTTACAATCTACTGTAAGAGAAGAAATCTTTCACTATTGTATTGTTTTTAAACAGATAAAACATTTTACAGGTAACTTACTTCTGAATCTTGGACCTTATTCTTGAAACAAAAAATGAGCAATAAAAAGGTGTGAAGCAACAAAAAGTTCCATATTGAAACTGATTTGAATAGCCTACTCTTTTGGTGATTGTTGTTTTTCATGAATTTTTAAATTTACTTTTTACAAGAGAGGCTAGAAAAATTAGGCTCTATATTAATATTAGTAGTAGTATGTTTTATTTTTAATTGAATTTTTTTTTAAATGGCCAAATTCTGACTGAGAACAGTTGAATGTGCTGGCCAGTTTGTTATTTGCCTAATAAATGACAATAGACAACATTTTTTAAATTTTAAAATTTAACAGATTCCTATTTTTTCTAATGGTGTATGATGTAACAAATATGTATTTTAAAAATAAGCGTTATTTCACATTTCTTCATTATAAAGCTTTAGGAAATATTTTTGGTATTAAAAAGTGTGTTTATGATGACCATCCAACAAGCTAATCTAGCTAAAATAGTGCTTAAAATGTCACTAAAATGCAGTATTTAAATCTCCTAATAAAACGAAGTGTATAACTGTAAAAAGGTCCACTTTTTGAGGAAAAAAGAACCACCACTTTTACCAGGCTGATTACAGGTCTGATATGGCACATTATTTTCATCAAAACTACCTTTAATCCATACAGCCCCTGCAAACAGTTATGAGCATGTTCAATATACTGCAGGCAAAATAGTGAGCATTTAATGATGTCTGTCAAAAAGAATAACACTGTCTCTACTTCCTTAGCAAACTGCAAAAAAGAAGCATTCATTCATTCATTTTCTTGTCGGCTTAGTCCCCTTATTAATCCGGGGTCGCCACAGCGGAATGAACCACCAACTTATCCAGCAAGTTTTTACGCAGCAGATGCCCTTCCAGCCGCAACCCATCTCTGGGAAACATCCCTATACACACACACACACACACACACTCATACACTACGGACAATTTAGCCTACCCAATTCACCTGTACTGCATGTCTTTGGACTGTGGGGGAAACCGGAGCACCCGGAGGAAACCCACGCGAACGCAGGGAGAACATGCAAACTCCACACAGAAAGGCAACTGAGCCGAGGATCGAACGAGCGACCTTCTTGCTGTGAGGCAAATGTACTACCCACTGCGCCGCCCGCAAAAAAGAAGCAGTTCCTAAATATTTTAACAACAGATGCTTTTAACAAAAGACACTAACAACAGATGCTTTTGAGCTTTTAACTATTTAAATTCAAACTAATGTACAAACAAGCATAATGGCAGGAGTTATAGGTCTACTAGATCTCTCTCTCGGCGAGGCAGTGACGCAGTAGGTAGTGCTGCTGCCTCACAGCAAGAAGGTTCGAACCTCGGCTCAGCTGGCGTTTCTGTGTGGAGTTTGCATGTTCTCCCTGCCTTCACGTGGGTTTCCTCCGGGTGCTCCCCCACAGTCCAAAGAGATGCGGTACAGGTGAATTGGGTAGGCTAAATTGTCCGTAGGGTATGAGTGTATGTGTGGATGTTTCCCAGAGATGGGTTGCAGATGGAAGGGCATCCGCTGCGTAAAAACTTGCTGGATATGTTGGCGGTTTGTTCCGCTGTGGCGATCCCGGATCAATAAAGGGACTAAGCCGACAAGAAAATAAATGAATGAATAGATCTCTCTCTCTCTTTACAATGAAGACCCCTAGTGGCGAATTTAAGGCAGTGTGTCTGCCACAAGGGTTTTCATGCATTCAATGCACAGGCCATTGTGGATTACAATATGATTATAAGACGTTTATTAGTGAGGTGGCTTGAGTAAGCACATGATGCCTTCATTTTAAATAAAAGCTTGGCTGGCAATACATTACATTTTCAGTTTTGAAATTAAACTCTTGCCAGTTTTTCTCTATTATTTTTAGGCTCATAACTCATTAGCAGCTGTCAGAGTGTTGTTTGACTGGTAACAGACCTGACCTGATGGTGATTTGTCAAACTTGATGACACAATTTAAGATGTCCTACCTAGAGATTAAATATGATTTTGTAAAATAGGATAATCCTAAATCAAGATTTGCTTCTGTAATAAGTGAAAATCCTAATTTTAAAGTACCATATCTTAGGACCTAAGATAAGATAGTTTCTTATTATAATAATTATAATAGTATCATAATTACAATTTTTCATGAAGATGCTCATGACTGTTTGTAGAGGCTGTGGATTGAAGGTAAAAATCTTGTAAATAACCTTTCGTAATCACTTTAGTAACACTTTTTGTGGTTACTTCATAAGTCCTAATAGGTGTGTCAACGCCAGCCATTGGTGAAACTTTGTTCTTCTTTCACAAACAGACATCTATCATACTACAGGAAGAAGCAAGAGTAGTGGGATGCATTAAACAATAATACATTGTATGAAATACAACCTGAAATCTCTTACAGAGTTTAAATACATTTTAAGATTGAAGATCAAGGGAGTTTTACCAGATGTCGTTGGACATACAGTACAAGATTAACCCATGTTTTTTTTGCTTAAAGATAAACACCCTACAATGTTTTTTCCTGCACAATTCCCCTTACTGTAAAACACATTTTACTGGACTGTCCTGTTTTAATGATTTCAGAAGGCTTTTTTTATTAAATGAACTCTCTTAAAAACATTTTTAACAAAGTGAAACCAGGAAAAAAAAATGTTAATCATGAATTAACACAAAAAATATCTTATTTGATAATTGTTATAATTTATTTGTTGTATTTAATTGTACATTTATAAATGAAATGTTCATCCCATTAAAATAGCCTTGGTTGCTGATATGACATTAAATTAAAAAATTTGATTACATTACATTACATTACATTAGGCGGTTCATTCCGCTGTGGCAACCCCAGATTAATAAAAGGACTAAGCCAAAAAGAAAATGAATGAATGAATGAATGCATTACATTAATGCAGGAAGATATAATGTTCATAAAGAATATGTGAAAAAGCTAATTTCTTGCTATTTGGGCAGCACGGTGGCTCAGTGGTTAGCACTGTTGCCTAACTGTCACGATTACCAGCGATCGTATTTTATAGATCGCTGGACTTCTTTCACAATAACCATGGACTACAAATCTGCCATTTCTGGACTACATTTTCATACATGCACTCCGCTCACACTCACACATGCTTCCTCATCTAGACCGATTACACCTGAGGATTGTCAGAGATTGATTGCACACACTATTTAAGCTACACACTCACTTATTTAGTTTGCCGAGTCTTGTTTACTGTAAGTAGCACTACAACGCGTTTTCCTTGTCTTGTTTCTTTGTGTTTTGACCTGAGCCTAGTTTATCCTTTTGTCCTTTTTGCTGCCTGCCTTCTGACCTCTCGCCTGTTATTTGACTTCGATTCTGGACTGCCTGTATACACCTGTTTGCACCCGTATTGACCATTGCATGTCTGACCTCTGATTAAACCTGTGTTTGGATCCTACTTCTGTTGTTTGTGTCACTCCCCTTCATAACAGAGGTCAAAACATGGAGAAACAAGACAAGGAAAACGCGTTGTAGCGCTACTTACAGTAAACAAGACTCGGCAAACTAAATGAAGCCTGGTTTATACTTCTGCGTCAAGTGACCGGCGTGACCCACGGCGCATGCAACGCGCATAGCTGTGCATTTATACTTCTGCGCGCTGTCTCTGTTGGTCTGCATTAACACTTCCGAAATGCTAGTGGGCAGTGATGTGTTAATGTTCCTCTGTGTCGAGTTTCTTCTCTGCTGTTTCGCTTTTCCTGAACACTTCCTGGATGTACAAGTGGCTCAAACTCGCTCATTTTGAGCCAGGAACCGGCGGACGTGCAACAACTTTAACTATGAGGTAAACACAAAACAAAACTTTCCATCAGGTGCTCCTTCTCGGGACTCCACACTTGTAAACAATCGCTCCATTGGGCTCACGTCCAGCTCGCGCCATTCGCACGGCTCTCGGCCCCACCCAGACTTGCCAGCGCTACCAAGCCGACCAATCACAGAGCTTGCGCTACGAGTCGTTGCGACGTGTAGTTACAATTTTTAAGAGGTGCACGTCAGCGACGCCGACGTTTGACGCAGAAGTATAAATCAGCCTTGAGTGAGTGTGTAGCTTAAACAGTGTGTGCAATCAGTCTCTGACAATCCTCAGGTGGTGCGAGTGTAATCAGTCTAGATGAGGAAGCATGTGTGAGTGTGAGCAGAGTGCATGTATGAAAATGTAGTCCAGAAATGGCAGATTTGTAGTCCATGGTTGTTGTGAAAGAAGTTCAGCGATCTGTAAAATTACAATCGCTGGTAATCGTGACACTAACAGCAAGATGGTTAACTGGTTCCAGTCCCGGCTGAGTCAGTTGGCATTTCTGGAAGGTCTGTGTAAAACATATGCTGGAATAGTTGGCGGTTCATTCCACTTTAGTGCCCCTTATTAATAAGGGACAAAGCCGCTAAGAAAAACTTATTAATTCATTTTCTTGCAATTTGAGAATATGCATTTTTTTGTCCCCTCCATAAAAAAACTTAATGCTTAATAATCGTTTTGGTTGATTTAGGTTTTAGAGGGGTTTTTTTTTTGTATTATTAAATTAGAGTGAGAAAGAGCACAATCAGAATTGCTCTGTAATTCAATTGTTAACAATTTTAAATTAGACACAGTGTAAACTGATCTGGTCAAGTGACACTGATACTGTATATTTTAAACAAAAGCAGTCATTTTAAAGCTTGAATTACTGCCATAATCCAACAGCAACAATTTCAAAGCTTCCAGAAATAAAAAGACAGTCACAATTGTCAAAAAAAGAGAAACTGTTCAAATAAAAAATGTAATGAGGAATCAGAATGCGATCATCTCACAATTCCTGCATACACCAAATCATCTTCTTGTTTAACTCTCTGGAGGGGAAAACACATATAACACAGTAACTGTGACTTGATTTGTATTAATTCACAATAAAAATTTGGCATAGCCACTGTTTCCAATAAACCTAGATAATCATCTGTAAAATTAATTTCACTCCAGTACAGAAAGAGCTTTGCAAATAGGATTATTTACAATATAATTTTTATACATACATTATTACATTCATTAACCATTTTGCAATTAATTGCATTTTTCTAAAATTAGCTAATTTCTTTGTCTGGAAAAATGTGGAAAGTCAAGGTAAAAGGTTTATTGTGCGAATTTTCTGATCACTAATTTAGTCCCACAGTAAATTAAATTGTATTAGGATGTATTGACCTTATTCTTCAATGCTGAAGTGCATTCATTTTTGTGATTGCTTTAGAACTTCCACTTTAGTTGCTTATAGGAGAAATGACTAGGATCAATAAACGCTACTTGCTATGCAAGCAAGTGTGTTCATGACTATACATAAAAGTAGAATAATATAATATAAAAAAATCAGTTTGCAACATCAAGCAGCAGAACGAGTCATTTTTAAAGTCTAAAAATCAATGGAAGTGCAACCGCAAGTCTCAAGCCAAATTGATTCTAATGGCTGCGTCTGCTCGTGCCTGGAGAATAAGATCAATAAGGTGCCATAACATTATTTTTATTTTAAAGTTGGTCTTCGTTTAGTGTCAAGCAGACAAATGTTAATTTAAAAACACTTTAAAACAAAAGCTGCTTTCCTATATATGCTACAAAAATCATATGATCTCATAAATGACCACAAGTCACTGATGTCATGGAGATTTAAAGTGCACAAGTATAAAAACATTATAAAGAGACGTTTTTCTTACCATTATTAGAGCATTCCTTTTACAGAACGTTGGCTCAGCATAGGTTATCTCTTCTTCAGGACCCTGGCCTTTTTTTTTAACAATAATGACAGATGTATTAGATTCTCTTTCATCATATATATATATATATATATATATATATATATATATATATATATATATATATATATATATATATATATATATATATATATATATATTATTATTTTGTTTTTTGTTTTTTTTACAAATGTGGCAAATGTACACTTGCCTTCTTTGTATTTTATTCTACATTTCCTGCAAATACAAAACACTGCAACTGCAGCCACTACTAACAGAGTTCCAGCAGCAATAGATATCAGCCCTATAGGAGGTGCAATGCCTAAAATCAAGAGAAATACTACTTTCAATCATTCACCTGAACACAACTAACAATGTAGCTCAGTAATTAAAAACAAAAGTACCTGCACATGGCTGACAATGTTGTCTGATGTCCAGGTGTTCAGTCTTGTTGCTGATAGTGTTGTTGATCACACAGCTGTAGGTGTTGTTATCCTCATATTGCAGCTCCAGAGGTAAAGAGAGACGGATGCTGACATTAAACACACTGATGCTGGAGATTAAACTGTTTCCTTTGTACCAGGAGAGACTCACAGCACTCACATTCACCACTGAACACAGCAGCGCACAGTGAGAGACTGATGGACCTTCAGATGAAGAGCATTTAGAAGTGTTTCTGATGATGACAGGAGCAGACAGAAAAGCTGAGGGTGAAGACAAATCAGTCAAACTTTAAGTTCACTTAGGGACAGGGTTAGGAGATTAATAAGCTTTCAGATGTATCGTCAAAACACAGCTCTGTATATAGCACACCAAACTTTACTGCTCACCACAGACAGTAACTCGGAACATTTTGTCTGCTTCTGGATTTGTGCTGATTTCTACTTTATAAAGTCCAGTGTCTGTGCTTCTGATGTTTGTGAAGGTCAGAGATCCTGTCTGATTGTCCATCTTCACTCTGTCTCTAAATCTCTCATCAGAAACATTATTAATCATCGCCTCTCGGTTGAGTTCAGCAATAATAATATCTGGGTTTTCAGGTCCAAACATCCACTGTAACACCGTAATATTTCTCATTTCAGCAACACCAGTGTGTAGAATGACTGAATCCCCCTCCGTTACAGACAAAGTCTTCATTTCATCTTCATCAGCACCAAACACACCTAAAACACAGTCATTCATAAAGTTGATTCTGAATACTTGTTTTCTAAATGCTGGAGTGATCTGAGAACAGTTCATGAACGCAGACAAAAAAGAATGAACTGAACAAACTCGTTAAAATAATAAATATCTTATAGCCTACTATCTAATATAGTATTAATAGTATTATAGTATATTGTTATTTCTCCTCATTAAAATCAGGCAGCCCCAGAACATTGCTTACGCGCAAACCCTATTAACTGTACGTTCCTAATTTCCATCTTCGTGTTTTACGCAATTCCTGTTTTTAATAGGCTAAGTATTAACTCGCAGTGCTATAATACATTTGAATATAAAACAAAATAACTTACCATCCAAATGCCACAGCCGTAAACGCAATAAAATTAAAACGAACCTCATTTTCGTCAGCAGCTCTGTATAAACAGACGTCGCTTCTGATTCATTGACAGGATACTGTCGCGTGAACGCGCACAAGCGCATATCCGTTTTTTTTCTCCTTTCTTTGTATAACTATTGCATGGTTAGTCTTTCTTTCTTTCCTTTTTTCTACTTGAAGAAAACACAATTTAACTCCTAAGTTGTACGCATTTTCACTTTCGTATTTAGATTAAAATACTATAACTGAGATCTGTGTTTGCATGTCTTATAGTATTGTAAGAAAAGATGTATGCACCCTAAACTTTAAATGTTGTGAATTTTTTTATATTATTCTTTTATTTTCTTTATTCTCTTTATTATTTGACTAACTAAATGTTTATATTGGGAGTATATAATAGTAATTTAGCATACATTTCAAATAGGGAAATTAGATAGTCTTGATTGAACAAATACACTCGAAAAAAGCTGGGTTTATCAAATTTGGGAAATTATTTCATAAAATACAACATATTTATTTTTAAAATATTTGTAGCTTTTATTCCAACTGTTGGTTTGTCTGTTGGTTTCGGTACCCAAAATTACAGATTAAACCAACTCTGCATTTTTAAAGCGTGGGCATATATTTATTTACCTTTGAACTTTATTAAACATCCTTTATTAAACAAGCCTATATTTGACTGTAAAGCTGTTTTTGTTTACAACAGAATTAATTTTATGCTGGATAGATTATCCTTCACATGCAAACCAATCACACACATCTATTAATAGACACATTATGAGGTTGGCTTTGTCCTGCCTCCAGAACAAACCACATTCATCTAGTTGGCTTTCGAGCTGTATTGAAAGCTCAGACCCCATCAGGTTTCTGTTTAACTCCAGTGGCTTCATATTTACTAAAAAAAAGTTAAAACCTTCAAATCTTTTTTAAATGTGCTTTTGTCTTTTATATATAAAATATCCAAATTGCTCATTTGTATTTCCACATTTTTCAAAACTTCTTCTCTTCTGGATATTGATATACTAAAATAGCTTCATAGCCACACTCACAAGAACTCATTCATTCAACCAGATCACAGCTTTAATAAAAACACTCGACACAAAGTCAAAAGAAAAAAATATATAAAAATAACTCAGCCTTGACAATATGTCTGATCACTATTTGCTTCAGATTTTACATTTCAACACAAACATGCATGTTCCTTGAATAATCCCACTTTAAAATACAATTTAAAGCACGTTTTAAGTGTTTTGCTCATTGTAGTGTGAACTTTACACTGTGACGGTTTAGACAGGGTTGAGTGCGAGATGTGATCGTCAGCAAATGGTGTCATTTCACACTTGCTTTATGTTTGAATGCAACCACTTGTGAGTATTTTTTTCCAACTCAACACTTTCCCCCAATAATATTTTTCTTCTGCTTGTAACCTTGATAATGTAAAAACACTATTATTAAAAAATCTGTCAAATCTGAGCCATCTGAATGCACTTAAAATAACTGTGTGGTTTGTTTGCCTAATCAGTGAATACTGATACTATTTTATGAAGTAAGAACATAATCAACAAGACTTTATAGTGTTACTTGCACATTTTCCACCAACTGTGATAAATTCAGCTATAAGTACATACAACCAAAGTAAATCTCTTTTTTCAAAACATTTTTTATTGTGTTTTAAGGGGCCTGCACTGAAATGTGACACGAGAGGAAGTGGTTTCATTTTCACCTTCTTTCTCTTAGTTGGTTTGTGGCTTTTTTATGAACCTCTTTTCCATTGTTCACCTAAATTTAAATATTGCACAAATTTGCTTCTGTAAACATATCAATTAGTGAAAAACATGGGTTACTGTGTTTTTAAAAAGTACATTTTGTAGATGTTAAAGGCTGCGCTGAAGAATTTAATTAAAAATCTTTCATGTTGTCATAATGGAGTATTTGTAGAATTTTGAGGGAAAATTATGAATTTAATCAAATTTAGAATAATCCTGTACAAAATGTGGAAACCGCTGTGAATACTATTCCTGGTTCACAATGACGCACTCATTATGCATGAGATAATGTAGTCCACGAGACGATGAATGAGATATTGAAGATGACCGTTTGGAGTATGTCAGCTTTCTATAATGTAATAACATACAATCTTCACCATTAGGTGGCAGTATGAGGTGTTGCGCCCAACTCACCCCCACCGCTCTTCAGGTAGGTCGTGGCGCAACTCACCCCCACCGCTCTTCAGGTAGGTCACGGCACAATTCACCCCCACCGCTCTTCAGGTATATTGTGTGCAACTCACCCCCACCGCTCTTCAGGTACGTCTCGCACGCTCCTACTAAGAGGCTTCTATAAAAAGGTGAATATTTCGCTTTAATTTTATTTAGGCTAGATTATTATTATTTTATTAAACAAACCAACACAATCTCATGGCAACTAGTGTTTTGGTGCTGAATATAGCGGACTTAAGCACTTCACCCCGAAGGTTATTTGTTATTCTTTATTCCTTTAAATAATGTAGCCTACTTGTCTTTTTAATGATTAATGAAGGAATTATGCTTTGTTTTATTGTTTATCTTTATTTACAAGTAGCAGAGTATTTACAGCTAATGTAATAATACATTATATAATGTATATAGTCTATTTCAAGAGTTCACACTTAGCTGATGATTGGTAATAAGCTAGTTTGGCATGCTGTCCCGGGAGAGAGCCCCGAGCTCAAAAGATCCTCGAGCCCGGAGCTGCCTCCCGTTGCAGGGCGAGCAAGCAAGCATGGGGAGAACATGAACTCCACACGAAATTTGTGTCCGGTTGGGTGAATACCTGAGTCGGAGGCATTTTTTGCTGTGAGGCCGCAGTGCTAGCCACTGGGCCACCGTGCTGCCCTGTATAAAAGAGGAGGAAAAGGGGTGGAAGGGGGGATTCTTCAAGACGAAGATGACTAAAGGTAAGATGTTTGGTTATTTATACTGGGTTAGGAATAGTCTGATTGGTGGTTCGTACATTACCTTGACTCGGGGCCAGCCGTGTCAATCATAAGCACGTGATCCTCTCGAAATTAGTTTATGAATAAACTTCACTTTTGTCCGTTCGCATCCTGTCCCTTTGTGCCACCTGGCGGCATAGTCGCAAACTGTGGTCATACCTAAAAAACACAATCTCTTTTTTTTTAAAAGGCGGCGGTAGATCGTGCCGCGGTAATGATCACATTAAACTCTCACCTACTGTACGTCGCTCACTCACAAACCCTCCGGTCCCCACCCACCCCCTCGCTCGTAAGGCACCCACTCTCCTGCAACCTCCCGCAAATCAACTCTGTATCCCCCGGAAATGACTTTTCCCAACTTGGGATGTCAGTCTTGGGCTCTTTTTAATGATCTAATTGTAAAGTCTAAAGCACATGGCACAAAAAGCATTAAGGGTGTGTCCGAATCCACTTTTGCTATTTTAAGGACGGAAAAATATGCTGTGCACCCAGGTGCATGGTCTAACAGGGTTGTACTTATTCTCTTAATGAGTTATGGGAGTGTTTTGAGAATAACATGCATTAAACCAATCCGGGGCTGTTTCTCAATTCCAAGAACGCAGAGAACGGACTTGCGTTCTTGTGGAGACCGGTCTTGCCAGGTGTCTTCGTGTCATCTTCCTGATGGTCATGTGACCTTCACGCGTTTTAAATGGAAATTATTTAAACATTACAGCACTCATACAACGATTTATTGTTTCCCCCCTTTTCAAAATATATATTTTGCATAAAAACATTATAAATATACTCTGCACAATATAAATAAAACAAGTTTTAATACGAATTTCAGCAAACAAACAACCCTTAATGTGTTTATTCCTTTATTAAGATATTCATGTTAATGTTTACTTTCACCGTTTCATTTAGGGAAACTCCTGAGGTAAATAAGTGATATCTCTGAACTTTAATAATAAATCTAAATAAAATGCTGCGCTTCCCACCTCCAGTCGCAATGACTTCTGGGACTTCCAGAGCGAGTTCGGTGCTCAAGTCTGCATCAGTGCATCCTCGATATCAAGATCACATCCGGGAAGTTTCACGCGTCCTCTGTACTTGCGGTCTTGAGTATTGGAACTGAACTTAGGCAGCTGAGGATGACGTTACACGAGAACACGAGGACGCAAGACCGCTGAAGAACGCATATTGAGAAACAGCCAGAGTCTCATTTCCCATTCCCTGAGTCAATTGCGCCCAGTGCTTAATTTGTAAATTGTGAGGTCCTGGAACTAATCAGGGTAACGTATCTGGCATTTTACCAGAGGAGAGAGAGGTGTTGCAGACGAAAGGGTTGGGAAATTGCTTGGGGTGTGTGTGAGGAGGGGGCTCGGTAAAATGAGGTCCTGGATCAGCCGTATCCGGATCCAGCTTGTTCCAGCACAAATTAAGCCCTGGTTGCATCACTCCATGGCGCATTTGTTATTTACATGGCAGACTTTGTAAGTGGAAAAACTGAACGCTTCACGAGTGAGAAAACAGTTGAGCAGACCATTTGCAGTGCGAGAATAAAGAACAAGCCTTCTCCATTCGGCCTCTTTACTTTCTTTTTACTTCACTTTTACTCTTTACTCCTTTACTTTTGTTGTTAAGGAAACAGTGTTGTACTCACTCTACTTTAGGCACAAACACTGGACTAGTTTTAAGAGACACTTATGCTAAATCTGCAGCGTATATCATGCAAGAGCTATGAATGAATAGCGCATGAAATTTGCTGATGCACTTTGAGCTTGAAAGTGCAAGTAATAAAGCAACCTTTAGTAAAGGGGTATTTAAATCAATGTTTTCCATCAGTTCAAATGGTGGCTGGGAATAACGTTCAGGACCACTGATAAATCCCATGGTGGAATCACCGGCTTTGAAACTTTGTTCATATGTCGCACTCCTCTCATAAACCGGCTCACCAGCGGGTGTTGACCAATATTTTTTCCATCAATCTCCACATGGCATGCAGATATCGCAGCCAGATTTGCAGCCCTGCAAGTTCTTGCAGGAAGCATAACACATCTGCCACAGCACACTGAGCAAAACGATGTGTCGCTGCTCGCACCACAGTTCAAACACATTCCATTTCTTGTCATATGCAGGTGTGTTAAAGCTGCTCTCGCATTCTGAATAGTTTCTATAACCCTTGCCAGTAAACCTGTGACACTTTGATTTAACCTCTCACAGGCCAGACCCAAAGAGTCACTTTGTCCGAGGCTGGGTGAAAAATCTCCCCTTGCGCTTGTGAGAGAAGATCCCTGCCCATCAGGAGAGGCCAGGGCATATACAGTGCATCCGGAAAGTATTCATAGCCTTGCCTTATTTATTCAAAATTCCACACACAATACCCCATATCATTAGCAAAACACCACAGATTACCTGCAAAAGCCAGTCACCTGCTCAAAATCCTTAGTTCATCTCTCAAAACATAATTTATGTGTTGATGAACATGTCAGTGGCTTTAGAATGACAAGTCCTGCTTTCATTGTGTATGGATAAGACAGTCAAATCACTTTGTAGTCATGTTGTCAATATCAGTGTACTCTAAAGGGCTGTTCTGATTTAAACTATAGCAATATATATATATTTTTGTGGCTGTTTGTCCTGTAATTTGTTGCCAGATCATGTCATTGCGATACAGATAGGAAAATACAGCATAGCACAAACAAAAAACTTAAGTAAAAATGGGACACTAGAACAATCTCCTTTTAGACCTTCATTTAAAAAAGTCCAGATTTACCTGGAAGAAGTTGAAAAATTGTAAACAGATTTAGAACAAAAAGTCTAATGGAAATGTATAAAATATATATTCTAACAAAATATATGGCAATTTGTTCAGCCATTTTGCATGTAAAGACTTACGCCATGACCAAACAATTAAATGTTGTGGGGAGTGAGACTATTCAACAGTGGCCAAAATAATATATTGTTATCAACATGACATCAGCAATTGATAATTTCAGCAATTTTCTCTGGGTGCTCCCCCAAAAGTCCAAAGACATGCGGTACTGGTGTATTGGGTAAGCGAAAATTGTCCATAGTGTCTGGTGTGAATGAGAGTGTATAAATGTTTCCCAGAGATGGGTTGCAGCTGGAAGGGCATCCACTGCTAAAAAACATATGCTGGATAAGTTGGCGGTTCATTCCACTGTGGCGACCCCAGATTAATAAAGGGACTACGCTGAAAATAGAATGAATGAATGAATGTTAGGCCCCATCTTGCAGTCCGCAGACAGATACACTTGAGCTGCTGAACCTCTTGTTTGCTTGGCAGCGCCATCCAGAGATGGAACTGGGGAGTGTAGCTCTAAATTTTGCTGTGCATTTTTTGGGGGGTTTATTTTTACCCTCATCTGCGCCCTTGGCCCTTGGCCTGGATGCACAGGAACAAACTTTACATTTTTGTAGATACTTGAGTGACTCACAAAGTGCTTCTCGATTTGTTGAAAACAAACTGTAACTGCTCAGGAAAGAAATGTTGAAAGTCCGCCTTATTGCGCTGGTTCACACTGCAGGAAATACAGTTTAAAGGGTCACTTTGTTGCAATCTGCTGAGGATAGCTTCCAAAATATAACTTCATGGGAAAGAGATCAAGAATGGAGTATAGATTGCAGACAGTGGCTTATATGCTGGAGCCGGGTCCTCCGTGTCACTGCCATGATTGGTCTGCCAGCCGACAGACGTGATGTAATTGTTCCTTCCAGGATTGGTCATGCCCAAGGCGGTTCTCATAGTAAGATAACTAACAAATGTTTGAAAGAGAACAGCAACCCTAGCCACGGCCACCAGAACTCAAACAAATGAACAACCAGCTCAAAGGATTAATAATACCACTGGACACAAAATAAAGACACAAATC